GGACAATGTGTTGCTATTTTACAATTATAATTTTTGTAATTTATTTTACATGTACGAATATTTTTATAAATTAACGTGTATCATTGAGTATTTTACAACAAATACGACTAATCGATTTTCTGCCCATACATTCCATCTCATTTTAATCAGGAATCACCACTAAATACTTCATGTTCAATGTTACTTTAATGTTGGGGAAGGGTGACAAATGGTTCGTGCTTTTTATGATATATTGATGAAAGAAACTGTCTTAAATTTTTAAGTATTCTATAGTTTAATATAAAAATGGTTCACAATTTATCAACATTTTTTTGGATGATTTCATTCAGATTTTCCCTAACTTAAATAGATCATACTACCTATGCCGTTAAATGCGTTCCTTATATTATTATTTACTAAGCTCACAGTTTTGTGACGCAAAAAAAATATTATTGCAGCTTTTCCATGGCAAACAACGGTACTCGATCAATCGGAAGTAAGTCCTCCACCGTCTGCGCTGAGTCCACCCTTGAGCGCACCACCAATTCCAATTAGCATGAGTACACCTGGCGAGGATGGGCCTGGACCTGGTCCTGATCCGATCACTCCCGCCGAAGAGGAAGACGATGATGTTTTCGAAGCGGAACCAACGACACCCGCAGAGGTTGAGGCTAATGGTAACAAGAGACGCAGCCAATCTCTTAGTGCGTTGCATTCCAAAGAGCCTCAGAGTCCGCTTAAAGTTAGTAAATATCAGAACGCCTTGCAGTCCTATTTTATGTTACATATATTTTAAAAATGTCTAATGGGACTTGACAGGCTAAAGATCGGATACGTCGACCGATGAACGCATTTATGATATTTTCGAAACGACATCGCGCGGTGGTGCATCAAAGGCATCCGAACCAAGACAACCGTACCGTGTCTAAAATATTAGGAGAATGGTGGTACGCTTTGGGTCCAGAAGAAAAGCAAAAGTATCACGATCTAGCATCCGAAGTGAAAGAGGCGCATTTCAAAGCGCATCCGGATTGGAAATGGTGTAGCAAAGATAGGCGGAAATCGTCGACGGCGAGTTTTAAAGGCAGCGAATCTCGAGGGAAATTGAATAGCACTGGAGAAGAAACGGATATGGGACCACCGGCAGACGATGTACCATTAACGCCAAGAGCCACCGATGATATTACCGTTCCCGTTACAACGGTGTACAATGAAGCTCCCACGATAGAAGTGAGTCTGATTCAGGCTACATTATATACTAAACAAGTTGAGGATGAAACTTGACAACGTGTTAAAAGAATGTATACACATAAATTGATTATTGCTTATCTAGGTTATTAATCAGTCGCATACGCATCGAATAATGGAAATGCCTTTACCAGTCGAGAATACAGAGTCCGATATGAAACAAGAGGAAGATGGTAATGCGTCGGATGAAGATCAGATGGTCATCTGCGAGGATCCTCAACCTGAAATAGATCTAAAATGCAAAGACAAATTGACGGACAGCGATAACGACGTTCAAGAAGAGGATGCTGATAAGAAGTGTTACACGCAATCACGGTTTTCACCTATGAGCGGTCAAAAGAGGGACGCGGTCAACGTTAAGCAAGAAGTTACGTGTAGACCTAAACCGATAAAAGGTTCGTTTCAATTAAGTTTACGCAACAATTAAGAGATATGTACAAATATTTGAAAAGTTGAGAAACGACCGATCGATGTGTAGTATAGTATGGTAAATTGAGTTTCTCCGTTTGTCTAGCACGAATACCTTCAACAGGTATCGAAACCACCACGAAATATCATCATACGTCTATGGACAAAGGGGGAACTGTATCTGTTTTATCGAGTACATATCCATATCATAGTCCAGTGAATCCAACCGGAGTATCGGGTTTTCAACCAACCGGCGGTGCTTTCATAACGATGCCGATATCACCGAAAGTTATCAAACCGGAGCCAGTAAAAAACGAGCAGCAATATAGTACCCAGTACAGTATGAGCAATCTAGTAGCAAACATTCACGAAAATGGAAGGAATATGCCGAAATTCACAGCTGCACCAGTGTTACATTCTGTAAGTATTATAAATTTGTGTAACATATGTTTGAGTATCTATTGTAACAATAAGATTTCCCGGACAACGCTGATAACACGAATTAATTTGGATAATTGACAGCCTAACAACTTCCATTCAGAGATCGTGTTATAGCATTGATCTAGAAATTTTATCGTCAAATCATGTATAATAGTAACATACATACCTAAAATAATCTCGACGACGTAAATCTATACCTAACAGTGAATTATGTATGTAGTTAGAAGTGGTTTATATAAGATTTTTATTTCCTAAAATCCTCTTGTAATATATTCCTTTTCATTCAGGCATGTGTGAATACTTAATTTTTTGTACTTATCGTTTAAGTGATAGATGATCCGTAATTGGCATTGATAATAATTTCGTTAACAATTCTCATGTAAATGCTTCTGAGAAAGTACTTTTAATTAATTATCTGTGTCTTTCGTATTCAAACGATCCTTTATTTATCATATTAAAGATTCTCGAGTCTAAAAATTGTTTGAAAACAAGGTATGAATAGTTACTATAATGTAATTTAAGGATGTATAGGCCATACACTTAAACAATGCTAGCATGTTGAATTTGTTATTATAGATTCCTATTACTATTAAAAAGCTACCTGCAAAATTTTAAATCAATTCACGGGTTTTTTGAAAAATTATAGTG